AGAAAGGTCTTCACATATAAATATACTATCTTGGACATCTTTTATGATTGTGAGCACTCACTAAAATATGACATGCTAAAGAGTTGGCATTGGACAAGGAAGACAACATAATGGGTTATGTTTCCTTACATCTGAGATGAATTATATTGTCTTGGATCTTCCAACATGATGAGCTTGCCTTTCCCCCTCATGCTAGCCAAATTCATTGCACCAAGTAGAGATACTACTTGTGCTTCCAAACACCCTCAAACCAGTCTTGCCATAAGAGTCCACCATATCTACCTATGGATTGAGTAAGATCCATCAAGTAAGTTGTCATCGGTGCAAGCAATAAAAATTGCTCTTTAAATATGTATGATTGATTGGTGTGGAGGAAATAAGCTTTATACGATCATGTGATATGGAAGTAATAAAAGCGACAGACTGCATAATAAAGGTCCATATCACAAGGGTCAATATAAAGTGATGTTCTTTCGCATTAAGATTTTGTGCATCCAACCATAAAAGTGCATGACAACCTCCGCTTCCCTCTGCGAAGGGCCTATCTTTTACTTTTATCTCCTACAGTGCATAAGAGTCATGGTGATTTTCACCCTTCCTTTTTACATTTTATCCTTTGGCAAGCACAATATGTTGGAAAGATCCTGGTATATATGGCTAATTGGATGTGAGTTTCCATGAACTATTACTGTTGACATTACCTTTGAGGTAAAACATTGGGAGGCAAAACTATAAGCCCCTATCTTTCTCTGTGTCCGATTAAAACTTCATACCCATAAGTATTGCGTGAGTGTTAGCAATTGTGAAAGATTATATGATAGTTGAGTATGTGGACCTGCTGAAAAGCTCTTATACATTGACTCTTTCCTATGTTATGATAAATTGCAATTGCTTCAATGACTGAGATTGTAGTTTGTTAGTTTTCAATAAAGTTTACAGTTCATACTTGATATTGTGATTGAATTATTACTCTAGCATTAGAGATCATATGACAAGAGTTATATAAGTTGTTGTTCTAAGAATGATCATAATGCCCTCATGTCCGTATTTTATTTTTATCGACACCTCTATCTCTAAACATTTGGACATATTTTTTGATTTCGGCTTTTCGCTTGAGGATAAGCGAGGTCTAAGCTTGGGGGAGTTGATACGTCCATTTTGCATCATGCTTTTATATCAATATTTATTGCATTATGGGCTGTTATTACACATTATGTCACAATACTTATGCCTATTCTCTCTTATTTTACAAGGTTTACATAAAGAGGGAGAATGCCGGCAGCTGGGATTCTGGGCTGGAAAAGGAGCAAATATTAGAGACCTATTCTGCACAACTCCAAAAGTCCTGAAACTTCACGGAAGATGTTTTCCAAATATATAAAAATACTGAGAGCAAGAACTTCACCAGGGGGGCCACACCCTGCCCACGAGGGTGGGGGGCGCGCCCCCCTACCTCGTGGGCCCCCTGGTGGCCCTCCGGTGGCCATCTTCTGCTATATGGAGTCTTTCGATGGGAAAAAATCATAAGCCATCTTCTTGGATGAAACTCCGTCGCCACGAGGTGGAACCTTGGCGGAACCAATCTAGGGCTCTGGCGGAGCTGTTCTGCCGGAGAAACTTCCCTCCCGGAGGGGGAAATCATCGTCAACACCAACACCAACGCTCCTCTCATCGGGAGAGGGCAATCTCCATCAGCATCTTCATTAGCACCATCTCATCTCAAAACCCTAGTTCATCTCTTGTATCTAATTCTTGTCTCCAAGTTTAGGATTGGTGCTAGTAGGTTGCTAGTAGTGTTAATTACTCCTTGTAGTTGATACTAGTTGGTTTAATTGGTGGAAGATCATATGTTCAGATCCTATATGCATATTAATACCCCTCTGATTATGAACATATTTATGCTTTGTGAGTAGTTACTTTTGTTCCTGAGGACATGGGAGAAGTCTTGCTATTAGTAGTCATGTGAATTTGGTATTCGTTCGATATTTTGATGAGATGTATGTTGTCTCCCCTCTAGTGATGTTATGTGAACGTCGACTACATGACACTTCACCATTATTTGGGCCTAGAGGAAGGCATTGGGAAGTAATAAGTAGATGATGGGTTGCTAGAGTGACAGAAGCTTAAACCCTAGTTTATGCGTTGCTTCGTAAGGGGCTGATTTGGATCCATATGTTTCATGCTATGGTTAGGTTTATCTTAATACTTTTGTTGTAGTTGCGGATGCTTGCAATAGAGGTTAATCATAAGTGAGATGCTTGTCCAAGTAAGGGCAGCACCCAAGCACCGGTCCACCCACATATCAAATTATCAAAGTACCGAACGTGAATCATATGAGCGTGATAAAAACTAGTTTGGCGATATTCCCATGTGTCCTCGGGAGCGCTTTACATCATATAAGAGTTTGTCTAGGCTTGTCCTTTGATACAAAAAGGATTGGGCCACCTTGCTGCACCTTATTTACTTTTGTTACTTGTTGCTCGTTATAATTTATCTTATCACAAAACTATCTGTTACCACTTATTTCAGTACTTGCAGAGAATACCTTGCTGGAAACCGCTTATCATTTCCTTGTGCTCCTCGTTGGGTTCGACACTCTTACTTATTGAAAGGACTACGATAGATCCTCTATACTTGTGAGTCATCACTCCAGGGGGCCCACGAGGTAGGGGCGCGCCCCCATCCTCGTGGACAGGTGGTGGGCCCCCTGGCCTTCATCTTTTGAAAGGATTTTTTATTATTTCCAAAAACTTGTTTTGTGAAGTTTTAGGTCATTCCGAAAACTTTTGTTTCTGCACATAAATAACACCATAGTAATTCTGCTGAAAACAGTGTCAGTGCAGGTTAGTTCCATTCAAATCATGCAAGTTAGAGTCCAAAACAAAGGTAAAAGTGTTTGGAAAAGTAGATACGACAGAGACGTATCACCGGGCAATTCACCGAACACCTTGTGGGCGAGGTGGGCGCAAGCCCGCCGGTGTACAGGCCCTGCGCGGGCGAAGCGCCGGAAAAGGTGTCGGGGCGGCGTCGGAGAGGCTGCCTTGGCGAACCCCTTCTTTTTCCTGGCGGGAGATGGTCTACCTAGCTGAGGCGGGCGGTGGTCGGCCCCGGGATCGGCAGGGTGGCGCAGGGTGGCGGCCGAGCGCGGGGGAGGGGGGTAGGAGGTGAATCTGGGCGGATGGCTTGACTTTTCGCTTGTCAATGTGACCCAGGAACGTTTTTCCCTTGCGACGGAGCCCCCGAGCGCCCCCCAGTGCGCCGGTTCGGCCTGCGAGCGCCGGGCGCAAAAACGGGCCGAGTTGGCGGAATTCGGCGTCCTGGGGGCGCGACTGGGCCGTTTTTTCGTCGCCGGCGCAAATAAACCGCATGGGGAGGCCGTTCTGGGGGCGCGGCTGGAGATGCTCTAAACTTGACATTGGTGCTCGCATTATTCCAGGATTTATTTCAGACTTCTGGCGATGTTCGTTTAGTGGGAGGAGACGTTCCGTCGACTGTGAGACACATGTGATGACTTCATAAAATCTCAAGATGCTATGCCGACTCAGCCTCTCGGAGATGCTCACATGGGTAGGGGCATGCGTGCGTTCATAAAGGTGAGTGTATGCTCGTGTATGAAAGCGACTTTGATTGTATTGTGTTAAAGAAAACACATGTCTACATTTTTCATACGCATTGTACATTTTTTTTGTACATTAGGAACATTTTTTACACATGTTTAATATTTTCTTCAATGCATGATTAATATTTTTTTCCAGTATGTGATTTGATCTCTACTTTTTTCATAGATGTTGTACATTTTCATATAGATCTAAAACATTTTTTATAAATATTTCACATTTTTAAATACATGTTTAGCAATTTAACGAAAGCATTATTTTAATATTGTATGTGATAATGTTTTAGAACATTATTTTAACAATAGTTTAGTAGCTAAACATGTATTTAAAGTGTTAACAAGTTTCAAATATGTGTTTGTAACATTATCATTAAACATATTTTATAAATACTTCACATTTTTAAATACATGTTTAGCTGTTAAAATATGTGTTAAGTTTTTTTTATCATTAAGAAAATAAAAAATATATAATGTAAAATAAACATTCTTTAAATGCACTTTAGAACATTTTCTTAATGATACAAAAATCTTAACATTGCAACATTTCTTTTACATTGTACAATTTTCATTGTGAGAATGTCACAAACACATATTTGAAACTTCTTTAACCTTTTATTAAATGTAACATACATTTTTTAATGTATAAATAGTTTGTATCATAGGAACATTTTTTTGCAACGTACAAACATTTTTCTAAATGTCACGAGTATTTATTTCAAAATGTGGGACATTTTCTAAATGTCAAAAAAAAATCATACACATGATTAACATTTCCTGCTTTTGTTGATTCACGTTGTACATTTTTCGAATACATTATAAAGATATTTCAAATGCAAAATTGACATTTTTTTTAAATTTATGTTAAGTGTTTTTTTGTAATATATATTTATAGTATTTTTAAATTAAAAAAGCAAAAAAATAAAGAAAATAAAAATGTGAATATAAAACAGAATTCTTTCCCTAATAATAAAGCACGGATTGAGTCGTTAAGTATTATGGAAATAAACCCGTCGTCCACTATAGGCCGACCATAATAATAAGTGAAAAAAAAAGTCTCATATGCAGCCCCGTCGTTGACATCGCTATCGCGCACGAGAAGACGAGGGTTCCCTCTGCCCCGCCGCCACGCCCCCATCCTCCTCTCCCCGATTTCACCGGCGCCGGCGTGCTACCGTCTTCCTCCTCTCCCTCTCCGGCGCGCTCTACCCACCACTGCGGCGCCACAGAGCACATGCTCCTCATGATGCGCGGCACGCGGGCGGCCACGTCTCGCCCGACCGTCCGCCCACACGCCTCCTCCTTTGGGGTCCGGCGAGCGGCATCGGCGGCCACGACGAATCGGCACGTGTGCGGCCACTCTGTTTCGGTTCAGGGGCTACAGACTATGCCGGATTGGCCACCGGCTCAAAGGGAACACGCGGACGTCCTGGTCCTGCTCCTCCCGACCAAGTTGATGTGGCGCGGGGCGGCGGCCTCAGAGCCTGCGGTGTACGCCTGTTGACGGGGCTCGGGGTGGCTGTGGCTGAATATCACATCTCCTCCTCTTGTCCTCATGCTCTCTGCTTTGTGTCATCTTATCTCTCCGATTCTTCTTTGGCCACATGTGCAGGTGTTTGAGGCAGGAGCGTTGATTAGCATCGGCGAAAGTACTCCGCCCACATCCTGTTTGATGTTATGCTATGACAGACTGGGAATTTTCAGATCCAACTCTTACTACTATTTAGATATTCAGAATGAAAAAACAAGTGTATCTGATGTCGGATCTGCACCTAAAACAAGTGTACATGATGTTCCAAGCTGTCCGTGATGATGGCCGAAGAGTAGGCGAGGGTCCACTGTTCATTTGATTTCGTGGGGATTATCCAGAACAATGCGATCTGAATTGAAGCCAATCCGATCCAGGTGAAACAGAAGTTGATAGATTATTCCGGAGACGAGGTGATATATATATCAAGCGGAAGTCTGTTTGTGTGACTCTGCCTGTATGTTGTCAAGTTGCAAATAGCCTGGTTTTATCAGTTGTTGCTTGATGAGAGACCAACCAGTTTATGCCTGACATTTGTGACTCTACATTTAATGCAGTACAATCGAGAGCTCACGGCATCAGGTACGCTTTAGATACAAAAACTCTCGCTCAGTTTAGTTCCCGTGTAGTGTTAAATTCCGGTGAACTATATTCGTTACAAATGGTAAGCTAAAGCAGATTTAAAAAGATGATAAATTTGCTCAAACCACGTTCAGTTTCAAAACTGACCTGAAGCTGCACTCAATGGCCCTATGGATCCTCTCTTTTAAAGAATCTACCTGTTTGTTGCCATTTTGTGGGACTTATAGGAAGAAGACATGAGGTGGAGTACTTCTTAAGATAATCCTACTCAATGCATACTAGAAATTGCTATTTGAAAAAGTTGTTCTGAAGTGACTCTTCAGGGCTTGGGAGGTTGTCAATTTTTGTGTACATGTTACTGTTGTATACTACTAATACAAATTTTGTAGTCTACAAGGGGTCTGCGGTACTTTCATAGTAGCGAATAAAGAATGAATCAAATGGGATTGATTTACTACTATACCTAAATTAGTTACATATATTGCATCTTGTGGATTAATTCTTGGTCAACTAGGTGTAGTTGATTTTTCAGTTTTGACACACACTTATCTATTTACATAATGTGGTCATATGTTTCATTTTGTGGCTAACCACGTGAAAGTATGTAGGTTCAAACCGATGCTGTGGCCAACACAGATAGTAGCAGTCAAGACAATGACTTTTTGGACGAAGAAGAGTGACTTCATGCAAGGTACTAACTTGATTCGTGAGGACTGCTACCATATGCACACAGAGTTGTTCAAGATTTTTTTTTTGAAGGTTGAACATTTCTCTTGGGAAGCAAATCTTGTGGCCCATGAGCTTGCTAGGGAAACCAAATTTACTTCTCCTTGAATTTTGTTGGATAATCCACCTAAATAGCATGTACCTTTATTAGTTAATGATGTAACAATCATTGAGTAATAGAAATATTTTTTTGTAAAAATAAACTTATTACTGGCATGGTGATTTTGCGAATTGATGGTTGAACTGAATACTTCGATCTTTTCCTTTTGGTCTTTCCTCCCTGTGTCGATCGCCTAGCAGATATTTGTCTTACCTAACCTTTTGATGAAATCAGGAAATGAGTTCCAATATTGGTGTGACGAGTCCCTTGACTGAAGGAGGAGGAGAACGTCAAGGGAGGCATGAGCCGGCGGTGGCAGCATGAGCCATCACGACGCATCACCGGGAGGCTCCGGGCGGGGGGCATGAGAGGTGTGACACAAGTGAGGAGGCGAACTAGAGAAGATGAGTAGATCGAGATGGATCATACAAGGATGAAGGGATGTTATAGAGCCGTTAGCCGACGGTGCTAATTTCCTGTGTGGGTCGATGTCGGTTGCCATGCAGTAAATGAAGAGTGCGTGTATGCCTGTGGCCCCTCCATTTTCATATTTGGAGTCCACACAGGCTGGGTGGCCGAGGGGAAGAGTGAGCGATTTTTTTGTTCCGTTTTCTTTGCCTGAGTAGGTGTCTGTGAGGACTCCTCCCCCCTTGGTGATTTTGGTGATGGTGGTGAGATGGTGGATTCTTTTTTTGCGGGATCGTTTAATATACATAGAAATTTTTCTTAGCTTCTACTCCCTCCGTTCCTAAATACTTGTCTTTCTAGGCATTTCAACAAGTGACTACATACGGAACAAAATGAGTGAATCTACACTCTAAAATATGTTTACATACATCCGTATGTAGTAGTCATTTGAAATGTCTAGAAAGACAAATATTTAGGAACGGAGGGAGTATTTTACATGTGATGATTCATAATTCCATATAGGCATCAGGGGTTGGGTCGTTGCATGCAGAATATGACCATATTCATATCTTTTTAAAACATATACCCCCTTCGTTCTTAAATATAAGTCTTCTTAAAAAATTTAAATATGAACTATATACGAAGTAAAATGAATGAATCTATGTTTTAAAATATATCTATATATATTCGTATGTTCATATATTTGTATGTAGTCCGTATTGAAATATCTAAGAAGTCTTATATTTAAAGACGGAGGAAGTATTTCATGTTTTCACTTTTCAGACAGATGGATGGATAATGTCAGTGTTTTGAGAAAAAAAAAGACAGTGGACACCTACCTACCAAGTTTTTTTACATGGACAATGCGAATGAGTTTTGCTCACACAACATCAATTTTTTCTCCCGTTGCAACGCACGGGCATATGTCTTAGTAAAAATAAAACAAGAAGTAACATGATGATGGGACGCTGTTACTGGGCCGGCTCAATACCTACTCCCTGCAGGCAGGCGAGCCGTGGTAGGACTCATAAGCAGGCGGCACACAGTTGCGCCCTTTTACCTCTAAGGGGACAGCGCATGACTCAAATCTCGGTTGGGCCAGTATGGAACTTATACTACAGGCTAGAGATCTTGGCTCAAGTTAATTTCCCTTCTTCGTTTCGACACACCCTCCCTGTTTTATACTATATATCTAGAGTCCTTCCTGCTATACTAGTCCCCATCATATTTTGGGTTAAAATTTGACCACGTATTTGACTAGCAAAATATGAATGCATATCACAAAAATTATATGTTGGATTCGTATCTGATTGTAGTTTCCAATAATATTAGTTTTGTTACATCTAACATATATTTTATTAGTTAAAATCATTGTCAAAATATGACCCAAAATATGAGGTGGGCTAGTAAACCAGGACAGAGGTAGATAAGGTGTATATAGGAGCTGGAGAGACGACAAATATATGACATCACAACTGGCTTCCAAGAGATGAACTTATGAGGCCGATAGTGTGTTTGACGAACCCTACACCACGGATGGTCTCTGAGCACATTGATGCAACTTCTGCTTGGTGGAAAGAAGACCATAGAATTTATTAGTGTTATATCTCTCGACGTGTGTGGCCTTCGGCAAAGGAAGAAACAGTGGAGCGTGAATGAGCCAAGTGTGAATCAATGGGTCTTCACCAACATGAACTTGTTACCCCATCTGGAGTTTACTTTGATGGTGGTAACCTTGTGGGTGATCTGGACAGCTATGCGTAAGGCGATTCATGTGGGGCGATGGGGGGGGGGGTCCAAATCCCCCTCTGAACACACCTTTTTGCCCAAAGATCCCTAGCTCATGCTAATGATTCCAAAATAAGTTAATCAGATCGCTCAAGTAAGCCAAGTGCAACCGAAGAATTATATATGGCTTCCCTCTCCAGGGGACAAGGCAAAGGTAAATATAGGTACAACAGTTTCAACTTTCAAGGAACGAGGTATATGGGGTCATGTGAGTAGTGTGCCGAAATTACCATGGTGGATATTTAGGCACCTTGATGGTTCTTTCTCAAGGAATCAATGCTGATTAGATGCTTGAAACTCTCACCTATAGGGAGGCCCTTGCCCTAGTGGACAGGGTCATGGTACATAGATTGCATATTACCTCTACTATCTCTCACTTGTCTAGGTCGAGCGACCAAATTTTAGCCACATAAAGCATTAGGCTGACCTGTTTTGGCTTTAAAAGTTGCATACGATCACAGATTAACTTCACTATGGAAGTTATTTGCCTTGTCGAAACGAACAAATTTGCTTTCTGATGCATTTGAGGTCATCATGAACGGGGAATCATGCAAGTGGTGTCAACAAAAGCCCATTTGAACTTGACATAACTCCAACGTCAGAACTCCGATTTGAGGTATCCTTGTATCCATCTCGGAGAGGGCTATCCAAGGGCAACCTCCAACCTTTAATTTGACTTCATATTTCAATAGGCTCGTGTCTTCTTGAGCCACATGATGATTCTCTAATATAATAAACTATATCCGATTAATCTCCCTAAAAATTATCCAATTAATCACTGAAACTTACTGAGTTTTCCTTTTTAATAAAAAATCCTAAAATATCGTGAATTTCTGTTTACCTCGGAAAACAAATCTCTGTCGGACTGCCTTCACCTTACACTGTTTGATTAGCTCACGCTGTACTATATCCGAGTATCTGACGGTGGTAGCACTGACGAAATCCGCAGTAACAAAAAGGGCAAAGAGGCGGCGACGTGTGCCTGACACAGACCAAACCGGTAGTACCTCCGAGTCCCAGCCGCCATTCTGCCCCGGAACCAGAGCCCGCATCTTCTCCCCATGGCGGCGGCGGCGTCAGAGCACGCGGCCGAGGAGGGGACGATGAGCATCTACAAGGCGGCGAGGCGCATCAAGCGGCGGGAGAGCACCCTGTACAACGCGCTGCGGAGCGTGGCCGACGACGCGGCCTTCGTGGCCGAGATCGCGGCGCTGTGGCCGACCCTGCCGCTGGTCGCCAACCTCCGCTGCGGCCTCTGGTACGCGCAGCCGCGCTCCCTCGCCGCCACCTGCTACTTCAAGTCCACCGACGGCCACGCCGGCAACTGGGCCTTCTCCACCGCCCGCCTCAATCTCCACCTCGCCCTCCTCGCCGGTATGTATATGCATCTCGCTCCCTCCCTTCGTTACACAACTTGTACTGGTAAGTATAGTGGTGCGTATCCAGAAGTAGGAGTTCGAAGAAAATTTGTTTCTCTGAATCATTAATAATTCAATTTCGTTCGCTTGGGGTTAATTCAAATAATCCACTGCCAAAAAAGTGTGAATATGAGTGCAGATATGCTCATCATGTGAACTCCTCAACTATTGCGTATACAGGGCCATAATGTTGAAGATGTTTTTGGCGACAATGGAATGGCGAGTGCAATATGCCTGAACTTTAGGGGATTTAGCTTAAGTTGAGCCTAATTTGTTTTGTTGTTATCATTTGAGCAGGGGAAAGAGGAGGATGCATAATAGTTGATTCAACAAGGAAAGGGAAACGATTTCCAGATAGCATGGCAAAGACAATACCCATTTGGTGCTGCGTTCTCAATCGAGCCATTCAGAGGCATCGACCGCGGGCTATCAACCAAGGTAGCGGATTGAATTCCGAAATGGTTCGTATATGGATTGCTTCGATTTATTAGAATATGCATGTATATCCTGCTAATGTCCACTTGTGAGCATTTTCTTTACCCCGATGCTTTGCCATTGCTATATTTGAAATTTGTAAGGTAGACCATGCCTGTTTTGGCATTATCCTTATATTAAGTTACTGTCTAGGAGCAAGCTATTACTCCCTCCGTTCCGAATTACTTGTCGCAGATATGGATGTATCTAGATGTATTCTAGTTCTAGATACATCCATTTCTGCGACGAGTAATTTGGAACGGAGGGAGTATTAGTTTATTACTCTAGAAAACTACATGGCAAAATAAGGGCAGCAGTGCTAATTTCATGATTTAACATGGCATCCACTTCACTATCAACATTGCTATTTGGGATGAAATCACAACTCACAACCGTATATTGTAGTTTAGTCGCAGTATATCTTCCTTTTCTGTTATTTGAGCCTTTGTTTCCATGTTGCGGATTGTTCTTTCTGCAAGAAGAATATAATTATGTGTTCACTTGTTCTCACAATGTTCCATAATTTTGTCTGTCAGTCAGCTGTTGTATCAAACGGGGATGCTGAAGAGTACTCTGGTTCATCAAACTGGGATAGCTCAGTTCATCTTCCTGTATGGGTTCTGGAAACTGAGAGAAATGCAATAGAGGGGCGTATTGAAGAATGGGCGGACCTATTTGAATCTTGTGGTGCAGACATTCATTCTCTTGCATTAGGTTTGCAAAAACCACTCCGTCCACTGTGGATATCACAAAATACACGTATATGGTTGAATGAAGTACCAGATCATCAGTTATGGGACTTCACTCCCGTCATATTAGTTTCAGCATCTGCATCTGGTACAGTGGCTACACAAAGAACGGCGTCAGAATTCAGCTGGCGCTATATTCCTGGTGCAGGAGATGATGAAGAGAGTTGGGCACGTGGTCTAACTCCTACATTATTCTGGAAGCATTCGTATGATCTACTTGATGGTGGACCAGATCTTTGTAATCAGTTAGTTGCCGACATCGTTGAAAAGGATAGGGTTTACCGTGCACAGAGGGGTGAACATTCTCCACAAGTTATAGTTAAGCATATAAAGTGCTCAAGCCATGGACAAGAATCATACACGGGAGATCATACAATTATCACACAACCTATGAACTCGAACCCTTCTACTCTTGCTCCAGCAAATACACAGTACTCCAATGATGGTCATGTAGTCTTCTGGATTGGGACATCAAACATTGCAGTAGCATCTACCATGCAAGGTATACTGATTAACTGTGCAACATCTTTAATAGTGTTGTTCATTTAGGAATAAAAATTAGTTGACATAGCAAAGAACCTTAATGATAGTGTTTTTGATGTCCCTTTTATGTAGTTGCAGATGGCTTGGCTGATATGGATTGCATACTGAACTGTGACAGCACATCAAGATTGCCTTCTAATTCATCAGAAGATTCTTACCTTGAACTACCTATTGTGGTTAGTGATATTGTTTTTACCCTTTGTGTTTCCTTTTTATTCAGACATCAACATCTATATTTCCGTTTTGCAGGATTCCAAGGATGAACGATTTTCTTTGTTGAAAAATCTTCCCAAAGCAGTTAGCTTTGCAAAGAAAAATCTAATCGCAAGGAGAAAAATGCTGCTATGTTGTCAAAGTGGTGAGTTGACAAAGTTCACCTACCAAAAGGAAATATTGCATGCACTTCCCTTGTACCGTGTAGAAAACTATACCATTTGTGAACACGTTATTATAGCAGCATTTTTCAAAATACCAGCATCCTTATTTCAAAGGTTGAGTGCACACATGACCACTAAACTCTAAAACCAGACAAATCTAATTTTCAACTATCCA